GATTTCTCATTTCATTGACCAAGTATCATACATAAACAACACTGATAAATTTCATAATCTTCTTTTTCAATAATGTGTAAACATAAGTTTTGGCACCAGTCACCAAGATATAGCTCATCATGTTGGTGGAATCTTTAGACTAGTCATTGTGCGCGTTGGCCCTTTTTAGCAGATGTATTATTTAATTAGTTATGTAGCTGTAATCAGCATTTGTAATGTTTTCCAACTATCCAGTGATTTGTATTTGTTTGCAAAACATTTGATGTTTGGTGTATATTAAATCTTAAGTATTTAAGTTATTAAGTTATTAAATTAAAAGTTGATGTAGTATATGGAAGGAATTGTATCTGCAAATTGAAAATTGAAATGCAAAAAATTAAAATTCATGCAAAGTTATGCAAATTCGGGTACCCGAAAAATCGATTACTCTAAAAAGTGGTTCAGTTTGCAGGTACTATTTTGTGGGGTACCTGAATATTCAGGTACCCGATTTTTTGGTCAAAACTGGTTCGGGTGCCCAGTTTTGCACAGCCCTAATTCCTATGGTTCATGGTGTTCTTGCCTTTGTCTGTCAGCAGGTCTCAAAGGTGTTCCCTCTTTAGTAAGGATGCAACATCTCTAACCTTAAAGCAATACAGTCAACTGTGTTATGGCCATGGCCATGGTTATGGTGGAACTCGCACTAATTGGTAGTGTCCCTCTTGACGTCAAGATTGAGCTTGGCCGACCACTTGACTGTTTGACACATCCCCTTCATTATTGCTACCATTTGGGTCGGCTTGATACCCAGGTTGTACTCTAGGACTACAAATGGTGTAGAACTAGAGGGTTGGTTTGCAAGTCAGGCTAGTTGGCAATCATATGGTCTTCGACTGTTTCTGTTGAAGCCGCGTGATAGAGGTGGATAATTTGCTTAATACTGATGAGGTTCAGGGCTCTTGTCATTTCGATTTTGTCGGCAGTCATCATAGGGTGTGTATCTCCTACAATTCATCTCGTCTTCCTCCCACCTAATATGGATGATTGCTCAGGCTAGGGCATCTTCCATGGTATTGCAACCGAGCTTGGTAAGATCTTTATAGAGTTCCCCATTAAGGAGCCTCTTCTTGAAAGCGTCCACTACTGTTTCAAGATTGTAGGATGGGACATATATCTTCTCTTTATTGAACCGACTAACATACTCTTGAAGCAGTTCACCCCATTTCTGATAGACCTGATATAGGTCAATTGATAACTTTTCTAATTTCTTGTGGTTGGCGAACTGATTGACAAATGTGTCGATGAGTTGGCGAATGAACCTATAGTGTTGTGGGGGAGGTTGGTGTACCATTGTAGAGCCAGTTCTGAGAAATTGGATCTGAAACTCTTGCACATGAAGGCTTCTCTCAAGTTTCTTGGTATTGAAGCGGCAAACATCCGCTGTTTGTACGACGCTATGTGGTCATCTAGGTCGGTCGTGCTATCGTAGGACCTCATGTTTGGAATGGAGAATTTGTGAGGCATCTCAGCTAGGGCTATGGAGTCTACGAAGGGTGAGTCGACATAGCTATAGGGAAGATTTTTCTTGGTTAGGTTGAGGACTCCACGTATACGCCTCATCATGGCCTCCATGTCGACAAGTTTCTTTGCCAGTATTTGCTTAAGAAGTGTGGCGGTGGATAGGAGATCTGCATTGATGGCTTGGTGATGGGTTTGTCTCCTACTTGGCATATTAGGTCAATCCAAGTCAGAGGGTGTAGCTTGGTGGTTGGTTAACAGGGTGTTGGGTTCTCCGTTGATCCCTTCAGGATGAGTCATTGCGAGTGTAATAGTTCGAATATTTCTGCCAACATGGATGGTAAGGGGGTAGTTTGGGGACCACTCGACCCATGAGAATAAGTCGAGCCGAGTGGTGTTTGGTAAGGGTGACTGCTCGACCCATAAGGAATAGTCGAACTAAGTGGGACTTGGATATAAGGTGGGTCACTCACATTGATGGGATGGTTGATGGTGGTGATATTTTGTTGTTGTTGGCTGGGGATGGTTTGAGTAATTTGGTCATGGGTGATTGATGGGTCGATTGATAGGGTTCTTGTTTGCATGGCTTGGTTAGTTGTGTTTGTAATGGTGGGGATCGAGCCATCCATTAAGGATGATTGGAGCTTAGAAGACTGAGGCTCTGAAGCCGAGGATCTGGGGTCATGAGAGGCTGCATGGAATTTACTAAGACACGGAAGCGGTTCTTTAGTATTTGGTTAATTGGGAAATTAAGAGTGTAGAACCGTGTTACCTTTTCCCGTAAGTTTTGGTTCTCGGCTCGAATGTTGATATTATCGACTTCCAATGTCATGACCTTGTCAACGTGTTGCTACATTAATGCAAAAAGAGCCTCGACCTTAGCCGTGAGGTCTGCTAAGGCATTGTCTGTGGTTTCAGTCATGTTGCAATTCTCTGTAGAGCAGATTCCTAAACGGGAGTTGATTGCCAGAGGCCCCACAGTAGATGCCAAACTGGAAACAGTAAAATCTACGATTACGAAAAGAGGTCTGATCCTATGAGATTGAGGCCACAGACAATCCACTGAACATGTACACAAAGTAAACAAGCACGAAGCTTACGTAAACACCGGTTTGGTCTCTACCATAGGCATTCTGACGCTCAAGTCAGTAAGGCTGAATGAGGCTATTTAGTGAGGGCTAATGGAATGAAGGATTACTGGAAGTTTAGTCGAAGACTAGAACGACGACATAGGTGTATAGCTCTTAAGAGCAAAAGCCTAGGAGCTAATAGGTGGTATTGCGATTGAATGCTTAATGAGAGGCATGACCTCTGTTTATATAGTGGTCATAGGATCTTTGAATCCTAGTAGGACTTTGAATCCGTATTGGCAAAGTTCCAGTAAATTTTCAAGATTGACAGTCTTAATTCACATAAGATACATGATCTTGAATGAATTAGGGTAAACCCAAATAGAAAGTATATGTATTAGTATTTTAGTGGGATTTTAGATCCTTAGAAGTTACCATGGACCAATAGGCCTGGCCCTAGGTGGGCTAGTGGTGAAGCCCAATATGAAGAGGGGCTGGGTTTAGGCCTTGGGTCTGGCCCATGACATGAACTTTAACATAGAACTAACAGGAATTAGGCCACGACCTTGGGCCTACACAGTAGAAGTTACTTGCTTGGTCCTGATAAGGCCCAAGATGATTTTTGGCCCATACACATTACCCCCTTTTTATGGAGGTAAATTATATTTAATTTGTGAGGTGCATTGCATATGCAATAAGTCCTAAAAGACATCCTAATTGATAATAGCAATTAAATCTCCATATGATCCAAACACCCCCTTAGTGTTAATTCTGATTACTTTTACAAAGCTTTCAGATTAGATCAATCTTAGAACCTCGAAGTTAGAAAGTAATTTATCACAACATGACATATATATACTAGGGAAAATGTTTTCCACTGAAGACTACTACAGCCAGAGGGTTTGTTCAACCATCTTCAAAGTATATCCACATTCAACATGATCTGTGAATATGTACCACATGGTCCACATTAGTGATCCATTCACAAGTCTTAAAATACTTGTGAACTTGAGTGGAAATGGAATTGTAAGTCATAACACACTTGCAAATTCGGTTGAATAAAAAATAGTCAATCGAAGTCCTAAAACACTTGGTACATGGCATGTGGATCACAAGAATTGTAATTCAACACAAGCCCGAGGAAAGAAGCTAACCCAAGTTGTCCAAGAAGGCAAGTCAGATTCGGCCCAAGCTCAACGAGAGGAATTAGCCCAAATTATGAAAGGAAACAACTCAGCCCATGTGTACAAAGGAGACATTTCGGCCCAAGCCCATTCAAGCATAAATTCATCTAGGTTCAAGTCCAACAAAGAAAAAGCTCAAGCATTCAAGAGGTCTAAAACAGCCCATTATCCAAGCCTAAAGAGCATTCCCATGCTATTTCACTTTGAGGCCACTTAAATGAATTCCAAGGCCCAAACACATGTACTCTTATTAGTAGGATTTAATTAAGTATTGTTATATTTAGTTAATTATCCTAGATGGCATATTTATTTCACTTAATTAGTTAATTACTCTTGTAATGCTACTATAAAAGCAATCTCTCTCTCATTTTGTTAAGGTTAAACAATGAAAATAAATTAAACGCTTAAGAGGAATGATTTTCCTTTTACTTTGAAATCTTTATCCAAGTCTTGATAAGGGATTTAGTGGTGATTCAACTTTAAATTAGCGGAGAGATTTTTTATGCTTGAAGATTCTTCTTGTCTCTATCCTTTACATACAAGTAAGTAGCTTGTGCTCTTGTTCTTACCTTGACCGAGATCCTTGTGGTTATTTTAGACTTATCTGAAATCTGGTTCAGTGCCTTGTGTTGTGTTTGTGCAAGTTTGGAAATTGAAATCTCTTGTTTGGTGAAATCGGGTTTGAAGTTGTGAAAGTTTTTTGCTTGGCCGAATTTTCTTTTTGTGTGAGTTTATGATGTTGTGTTGGGATATTCATGGTGGTGTTGCATCAATCATGTAAAAAAGATGATTGGATTTCACCAGAGAAAGAAAATCATCAAACATTATTTTAAGTTCACCGTTTCCCCTCCGGTGGGAAAATTGTTGACAACAACGTATCTTCTTTCCAAAGATCATCCGTTGAAGCATTACTTCTGCCAAAAATTGGGACAAAATTATGGCTGCCGACACTTACCTGCAAATATTTACTCAGTTCTTGTTTCTGTCACGAAGTTGGAGCATATCAACTGATATATTTTGATAAAGAAAGAATATGCTCACAAGTAAAAATTGAATGTTAATAGCTTGCAAAATAGATTTTTCTCAGTGCATGATTGATTTACACTAACATAAAAACAGAAATGAAGCATGGAATATAGATACAAAACTGCTGTTGGTGTGAGGCAAGTGCTAGATTCATAGCCTTAACCGTAAATTTGATAATTTCATAGAGAACCATCCGTACTTCTGCGTGTCACAAACAAATTCGCACAGAAGGATGGAGAGAGAGAGAGAGAGAGAAACACTATCTTAGGATCTCAACTCAAGGGTCAAAAACAGGGTTAATGCACTAGCCATGCAATATTATTAGCCAAGATGTAGACATAAAATCATTACTTTATATTGTTTCATCCCTGAATGAATTTATTCAGATAAAGAATGTTAAATTTGCTAACAAAATTTCTAGCTAACAGAGGCAAGATTCATCCAGAGATATACCAGATAAATTATCAAAAATGCGGATATGGAAGTGAATAAAGCTCTGCTCAATTGAGGTGGCAGTAAGTGATCTGAAAATTAAAATGCATCAGATCAACTCAACCCCCTTGAGAAGCAACTTGCAGATGGCGTGAATTAAATCAAACAGTTGCTGGTAGACCTTTCACTTTCATCATACAAAAATACTTAGCTGGAATAATTGCACCAGCCTGTGTGCATAGATCCACCACTGCTGGTGCATGCCCATAGTAGTCCCGTCCCTCATTCAAAAGTACAGGGGGATCCTGAGGCCGTCGCCGCCAAACAATCTTCAGAGGCACCAAATCATCTACTTCTGCCTTCTTCCAAAAGTGCGTTCCTCGCCAGCTTTCATATTTAAACACTCCACAGAGCCGAGCCTTGTGCCCAGACGGCCCAACATGAACTTCTGAGCAATGCTTACAAACTTTTGCTGGGTAAACCAACAACAATCTCTCAACACCAGATCTAACTGTCTCCCATGCCTTTAAGGTTCCATTGGCTATCAATGACAGATCTTCGGGTGATAAAGACTCTACTTCATTAACCCCTCTAATGGGACGATCAGAGTTACCAGCACTGGTGTGGAAATCTTCATCGTTGGGGTCAGCCCCTGCCTGCCAGCATAGCTCAACAACAGCAGGAACACGATCAAAATCAAACCGTTGGTTGTGCTGTATCACAGGTTGAAACATTCTCTGCAGGTGAAATGTTTCCACTGGAACAAGTACATCATTCAAACCACCACTGACCCATTCATGAACCCGATTCTTGGCTCGGCGCCTGTAACCATGACAAGTTTGAATCAAGTGACCTTTCTCTCCAATATATACTTCTGGACAGAACCTGCAACACAAGAGCATCTAATATTTTACTAAAAAGAACTAAGCTTAAAAACGGTGGCAAGTTGCGGCTAAACTATATGAATTCTCATTCAAATGATAAAATTGTCAATATATAAATGAGAAATTTCCCATAACGTGTCCATGCCACATGTCAAGCAATCTCAGCTACAGGTACAAAGCCTTTAAACCTCACAAGCTCTCAACCAAGGTAAAGCAAAACAATCATGCCCCGACACCCACAGTTGAAAACATTGAGATTATCGCAATACGTGACATAACAGCAAGAGGTGTTTGTTATAGAGACTTAAGCTTACTTGCAAGCCTGAACAGGAACAAGTTTCATAAGGGTGGAGATGCCTTGAATCAATAGAGCTCTGGCTTTAAGAACTTCCAGTGCAACAGGGACCATGCCTCGAACCGGATAGTCCTTGGCACGATTTTCAATTCTCTTAAGAATCATGGGTCTCAGCTTCTTCAAGTCGAATTTAGAACTGTAAAAACGAAGCCCACCCCACTCTCCCAAAACATTTATCCATAAATATGATTTCTTCCTCAAAGCCATCATAATAAATCTAACCTTGTCAACAATACTACTATCCTACTCTCAAATTTACGAGAAGAATAAATAATTTAAGAAATAAAATGGGAGATGATTATTCTTTTTTAAAAGAGAATTTACATCGAACAGATGGTGTGCATAGCAGGAATCATACTACAGGGACTTGTAGTGCAGAGGTGGCAGAGTTGAAGATGAATCTGGGAGAGGAAAGATAAGTGAAATTGGAGGTATTAGAGAATAAATTTCGAAGGTTAAAATCACAGAAAGTTGAGAGCGGGAACTAAAAGCAGCCCGAAGTCCCCGAACAATCGGAAATTTCTGAGCACAGCATAGAGTCCATAGTCATTTGTGATTAGGATTTAGGACAGGACGGGTTGTTTGGCTTTAGTGATCGGTGCCTGCTAATATTCTCAGTTTCTCACACGTTAAGTTAAATCAATTTTTTTTAGGAAAATGTTACAGCCAAAATAGTGCATCGAAAATATGTATAGAATAATATTATAAAATTCTAATCAATTATAATAAAATATTAATCAATATGATTTTATCGCATCATTCCATACATATTTTTAATATACTATTTTTGGTGGTTTTAACATTACCCATTTTTTAATATCATAAACTTAGTTATGGCCACTGTTTAAAACTGGCACCACACATTTACCAAGAAAAATTAACCAGACCTTACATATTGAACATTATAAAGTGATAATAAACTTTTAGGCATCTCAAACTACAAACATCAAATTAATGAAACTTTTACACTATATTAATGTGATTTTTTTTTGTATATTTCACTATTACATCTTCAATCCATTGCACCAAATATTAGATTAAAAAGAATATTCTTTAAAATATTCTTTTTTTCTTTTTACTAATAATTAACGATTAATTTATTTCACTGATTATTTTTATATATACTAATTAAATATTAAAAATGATATTTTTATTAAATAATAATAACTTTAAAAATTATATTAATTTAATCAAATTATTTATTTATTTAATCAAATAAACATTACATTTAATATGAAAAAACATTACATCTAATATAAAATACCACAAAAAATAAAAAAAAAAAAACAACATAAAAGTAAAATTTCATATTGTTATTTTTGTTCATGTTGTATTTTCTTTTAATTTTAATGTTTTTAAATTAGTATTAATTTATTTTGAGTTATTGTAGTTTAATATTTACATTGAATGAAGTTTTGTTTTTAATTTTTCATCATTTTTTTAATTATATAATTATTATGAATTTATTATTATAAATATTAATATAAATAATAATTAAATTAATATGAATACAAATTAAAAAATAAATAACAAAAATAAGGAAATAAAACATGTTTTGTTGTAGATGAATAGTATCACACCAAATTGGTGTGGATGAATAGTGCTGCACCAAATTTGGTGTGATACCATTCGTTCACACCAATTTGGTGTGGCTTTGGTGTTGGGTTGGAGATGCCTTTAGTGGTGCGTTTAGATCATATAATGTTTTATTATAAAGGATGTTATATTAATGGAAAGATAGATCACTTTGAAGATTGTTGAGAATGTTAAAGAAAATGTGTTTGGTTCATTCGAATAAATTAGTAATTATGTTATATTTATATGTTTGGTTGAGAGGATAAATGGGTGGATATGTTATATAGATTACTAATTTGCCCTCCTTTTTAAATATTAATATAATATTATTTGTTGAATAATTTTTTTTAACCCTTTACATTTGAAATTTTGCTAAAATACCCCAACCATATAAACTTTCATTTGTAGCAAAATCTGTTAGTTTATGTCCTATGAATCAATCGTGTTGTCGGTTTCAGGGCATTATATCTTGTAAATACTCTTTTGAGAATGGAAGAAAGAGTACTGATTTCACATGTTATTTACTACTTCATTTATACTATTTATAATGCATGTGAAATGTTCGGATGATACGGATCAAATCATTAAAGCATTCCCTACGTAAGTAATATTAATTGAGCAATAAAATTAAATAGTAGTCATGTTGAATGCCTCCATTGAATATCATGTGATGGTATTAGCGTGAATGATTATAATAGGTATATCACTAGGGCATTAGTATGGATAATAGATTGGTGAACTGTTTATCAAATATGACCGATTATGATGAATCTCATAGACATTTAGAATGTTGTCAATGATACATCGTAGGATCGTACTAGTGTACCACTAATCCTTAGACCTGAGACATCACTATTGGACTTGACATAGGATGCATATGATTCATATGATGTATATACACGAGACTAGTCATGTTTTGTGTAAGAAGCCAGTTTGGTCATATGTTATTCATGTGCAAAGACAAGTGATGGTCAAGATGGGATTCGTTGACTAAAAATAGTTTGGTCCCAAGTTCCCAGACGAATGTCAATAAACATTGGAAAAAGAAAATATCTAGTCAGAGTACAAAATAGTCATATGAAAAGGAGTTTCATTATGGCATGTTCCATTGTATTGATTGTCAATTCGGATAAAGATTAAGTTAAGAGTTTTGACATACCATGAACCTATACTTAATCTGTTAGTAAAACGGTCTTGTATACGCAGCGGAAACAACAAAAATAATATAACAGGATCGTTTACATGAGCCAAGATCAAGGGTATAATTTTATAATTTTATCAAAGCAAGAATCTGCATAAATTAATAATCTGTGTTTAGAAACCATACGCACGTTGGAGGCTCCTCCAAATTTGTCGACGAATGTTTTGCTACCGATCCAAGTGTAGGATCGAACCTGTGTAGTCCACACGAAGACAATCTCAAAAGAACCAAAGAGGTATTTGCTAGATCATATTTGGCTTCAAGATTAAGAAGAAAAGCAATCAATGAAATTGATTTCAAGGCCAAATCAATCTGCCATGGGAGTGTTTTTCCAAAAGGGGGCTGCTGTATTTTTCAAAGGAAAAATCATATCTAATTTAATTAACACATTTTTCTTTTATAGTTAATTAAGTTGCCCTAATCCCATACGGAATAGGCTTGGGCTTCAACCCAAACGCCCCATGTTGCCAAACACTCCCAATTTGATTTATTTTATTTTCCATCATTATCTCAATTAAAATCAATTAATATATATATTTAAATATATATTAACATTTAACAATAATGATAATATATTTAAATATGTGCGAACACACATTTAAACGTAATTTCACTTATTTAATTTTTCTAACAAATTAAATAAAGGCTACGACCTCAGCAAATTTAATTGCACTGTGAAATTACCAAAATACCCTTTCGCCTTAAAAGACGAAAACGCCCTTCTTTCTTCTTGCATCTTAAATTGTCTTCTATGTGTGTGACCCTTAGGCTCCTCATCATATCGGCAGTGTATAGTATTGCGATTAACACCAATTAATCGTCTCACTAATACACAGACCAAGATTGGCCCCTAGCAAGGCATCATGGCCACCCGATAGATTCGGATTCAGCAAAGTAGCTACCTGTCAACGATATGGTTACCGTGCAATTCGATCCTTTCATCATACGTTATCTCGACGAGACGAAGGCATAGAAATAGTGTCAACCTTCGGTTACTCTCGATATTATTTATTCAGTTTCTGGACCAATGACCCGTATTATAAACTGGATAGAGCAACAACTCAATCCCACTGTGGCCACAGTTTTAGTGTCATTGCCATATACTGAATTGCGCCGTGAGATAACTTTCTCCCGTACCCGGGAGTGATGAATCCTCTGTCAATCCACCATAGTCTTGATACACTCCTTGATGCAGCCAATCACCACCGTATTGACAGCTCTGAAAAGAACTGCGTTAGGCTAGTGTCAAACTATACCAATCGGTGCACAAGGCGCTCCGGTGATCTCAAGTCTAAGGATCACATGCACCACCATTCGTTAGAGGATTTGTTCCATAGACACTGGGGTTACCATCCATATGGAATCCTCTGGTGGGTCAGTCCAGTGAACTTGCTGCGGTATATTCGCCTACAACAAGCACCCATGTGTTGCACCAGGTTGTCACCAAACAACCTTGACAAGTGAGATCAGTCACTGCCTTTCGACAGGGTCGTTCAACACTATGATAGCCTTACCGTATTATCTGTGCCCTTACTTCAGAATAATACTGGGGCTACGGACGTTTCTAGAATGGCCACCATATGTGCTCATAGGGTTCTCACTATCAAGATTTGAAACACTTGATACCCTCGTCACGGTTCTACCATTCTAAGGACATATATCAATACATATTGCAATAATAATGATTTACGCGATATAGAATAAAATGTCTTTTATTGATTAATGAACATTATTACAAAGAGTCAATTCTACAATAATTGATTGGCTCTAGGGCACCTACTCCAACATAATCAGGATTAGATGACGGAGGGATTTTACTACATAAAATGTATGATTGGGAAAAAAAGGTTCATTGGAGTTTAACTTCATTGTGGCTTAGGGGTTATGGAGCATTGCTAGGTGCCTACCATGATCGATGGGAGTTTCGATCACAAAGAGTTATGACGAAACATATCGGATTGTGATATTAGGCCCATGACTAGGTTACAGTGAACTTAAGCGGTCACACCTAAAAACAAGTATGAGAAGAGAGAATAATACATACCGTTAAAGGTTAACGATGTTCAGATGTAAACATGTGCATCTGAATTTATGTATTGGTGAGAAATGATTACTCATGGAAAGCTAGCACTTACCAAGGGTAATCAGGTAATTTGGTCATTATTGGATTAGTTTCAATGATAGACTAAAATATATTATTGAATTGGATTCAATAATGGGTTAAATATTAGACGGGATTAATTTATATCCCTTGATTATAAATTTGTTTAAATCAAGGATTTAATATTAAGAGTTAATATTAAATTGAAATTATTTTAAGGACTTGAAAGTAATATTGAATTTGTATTAAGTGTTAATATAGGATTCATATTAATTCAAGGACTTGAGAACAATTTCAAATTATAGCAAAATGGTCCTTGTATATAAATAAGTGATATTCCCAAATTTAATTAATCTTCATTTTGATTGAAAATCTCTCTCTTGTGCTCTCATGGCCAACTCTCTCTTCTTCATCTTAGAGTTGACTTTACTTTGAGGATTTTCATTGAATTTGTTGAAGATCTTGAATTCATTTTTCAAGTTACAAAAATTGTAAAGCATAAAAGGTAACAATTTCACCCTTTTAGTTTCAATAACATGTCATATGACTTTATACCATGTTTTACACTAATTTTACCCTTTCTCAGCATGAATTCTTACAAAATCACCCCGACTCACCCCAAGCCACTGCCGACAACTAGCCACCACCGTCGGCCGCTGCCAGCAATCAATAGAATAGCGCACGACTGGTCGTATATGGTTGATTATGCGCCGGCAAAGCCATT